GAGCCTCTGGTCTCTGGTGTCGATGCAATGGACGTCCCGAACCTTCATCCCCCCGCCACAGCTCCTGGAGCACTGGGAAACAACATGAGCATCACGGCAGGGAAGGGCGGCAAGGGCCGGTGCCGGGGGAACCCCTCCGGCGAGGGGAGGTGCCTCCAGAGACACGCTCTGCCTTGGCGTGGATCGAGTGGATATTCAACCTCTGTTCACCCCTTCCTCTAGTCCAAGCTAGAGGAAAGCCTGTGCCGCTCTGAATCTGTCGCTAGTGTCCCTCTGAAAGCAGCCGGTTTCCAGTTTTAATGGCAGAAAAGTCTTTACGCATTAGACAATGGATGACCCCGAGAAACAGTGGCCACCCAGAGCAACGGTGGGGTTGTTCCCCACCATTGAACCTACTGGATTCACCCGACCCAACAGCAAACACCCCCAGGAGCGCAGAGTGGCCAGAATGTTTTCCGGAGACTTTCAAACCACACTTCGTTTCGGTTTTGCCAATTCCTGGCTTTTTAACCAGTCCAAAACCAAGAAAAATGAAAAGATTATTGTGGGATGAAGCAGTGGAAACTCTGAGGCAAGGGCAAATCTTTACCCTCTGCCTTGGTGAGCCGTGGGGCAAGAGCCCACCCTGAGAGCAGGTACGGCTCACAGGGCAGGCACCGCCTGCCTTCGTTTTTCTGTGGATTTTTCGGGACCCTCCCCACCGCCCCCACGCCCGTTTACCTTACTCCAGTTCCCCACGCGCCACGACGAACAGGGTCTCAGGGAACACCTCCGGGCAGGGACGGGTTTGTTGGCCGCGGCGCAGCCGTCGTCGCTGCCGGAGCTGCAGCGCACGGTCCTCCAGATCGCGCCCACGCCGCAGGTGGCCGAGCACTGCAACACACGAGGGGGACGCCTGCTGCCCTCCGATCCCGGCAGCCCCAGCGGGGCTGTCCCCTGATGTCCCCAATCTCCCCGATGCCCCGTGGCTGGCTCTGGCCAAGGATGGAGCCTGGTGGCCCAGCAGAAAGGTCCCCAGCGACTCAGCTCATCGCCTCCTCCGTGGGTGGAGGTGCCAGTAAAGCTGGGGCGTGCGGAGGCAGGGCTGTGGGACGACGGGGAGAGAGGAGCTTTCCCAGAGGCTGTGCCCAGCACTGCCTGGCAGGGGACCCAGCCCCCTGGAGAATCCCCATAGCGAGAGGCTCCTCTTGAACCAGTCCCACATCAGGCAGCCCTTGGTTTGGGGGAAGAAGGAGGATAACCCTTCCCCAGAACCCATTTCAGTGATTTCTGGTCTGGCTGGGATTGTCCTTTCTCTCCCTGTTCAGCTTTTGGCTCCCAGGAGGGCTCTCACACCGCGACCTGCAGCGACAGCCATCGCCCCGTGCCAGCGTCCCGGCCACGGCTGCCCGCAGCTCGGTGGGAAACGGGGCAGCACCAGGGATCTCTGCGGCTGGGGGTGCCTGGAGCTTTTTTGTTGCTAGGTCTCTCTTAATTAGCACCAATAACAGCTTCAGCCGTTTGACTGCTGTCTCATACAGCTGTTTCATGCCCTTCTTTCCCAAGTGCTGCCTGTCCCCTGCTCTTTCGGAGTTAAAAGCTCCACTAAGGATTTCTCTCCACCTGAGAGGCAGTGCCTTTACCTCCTCTTCTGGATCCACCCCTCTCTGCCTATACCGACCTGATTTATTTTGTAGGAGCCTTTCCATCCTAAAAGCCTTTGCAGGGCTTTCACAACACACCCGTGTGCCTCCAGGTCACAGCTCTGCCACCAGTCCCACCCCCGTGGCACAGCTCCCCCCAGCGCCCCGGCTCAAGCCACGGTCAATGCCCTTTTGTAAAACCCACATGGTGGGACTGTATTTTTGCTGATGTGAAGTATTGTCCTGACCATCACTGGGTCCTTTGTGTAGCCTCCTTAAAAGGCTCGCCCACCCCTCAGTCTCCCGTGCTCTGCGACACCAAAGCCTTGTTATTTTTGTGCTTTCTGATAAAAGCCCGTTACCCTGAACGGCAGCAGCCATTCGTCTGTCACTGCAAACGTGACAGACAGAGAGTGGCCCGGGGACAGCGAGGCAGCAAGGCGATAGCTGGTAACTGCTGATAATCCCCCACTCGCTGCATTCAGCACAGCCCCGTCCCTCCGGTCACCTGCAGCCTTGACGTGCCTTATGTCTGACATTTAAATTTCTGTCTTTTCGTGGTGTATTTTGAGATTCTCTCTCCTATACAACGGCAGGAGCTTGCTCCCGTGCCAGGGGGTCTTCGTGCCCCAGTGACCTCCCTGCAGAGCAGGGGGAACAACAGGGGAACCAGCCCTCCTGGAGCAGGGAGCTGTGCCAGGGCAGCGAGCGGGCTGATGGCAAATGTGCCGGGCTGGGCTGTGCCGGGCACTGCAGAGCCCAAGGACCCACCGCGGTGGCTGGGAGGGACTGGGACAGGATGGAGCGGGTGTGAGCAACACACGTTTCTTTGCACACAAAGAGCAACGCCCCAGGGACCCGGCAGGAGAGGGACAGGTCTCTCACCTCCGTACCACCCACGTCACGCTTTTAACGAGACTCAACACGTACCTCGCTCCAGTTCCCGACCTCCCAGCTGGGCATCGCAGTGGCTGCCACGGTGGTTGATGGTGGAAGTAAAGCCGCCTCCTTCTCCGTCTCTTCCTTCTCCCAGAGTGGCAGGGAAGCAGGGGTGGGCTGGGATAACGCGTACTCCCCATCGCTGAGAGCAAACGTCCCTGGGGTCGCCCACGGGGAGCGCTCCCCTGGCGTGGTGCTGCCGAGCGGGGCCCCGTGGGAGGTGTGGTGGGCACGGGGCGACGCCGGCTCTGGGTGGTGGGACACCCCCACGGTCCACCACGCTGGTGGAGACTCGGAAGGCGATGCCCCTGCTGGGTGCACAGGGGGGCTGTGAGCCGGGGCTGTGGGCACGGCTGGTGCCAGGGCGTCTTGCCGGGTGAGGCCGCTGGAGGTGAGCTGGGTGGCTGGCCCGGGCACGGCGGGGGACAAGGACACTGCTGCTGGAAAGGCTGTAGTGGCCACCGAGGGGGCTGAGGGCAGGGATTTGGGGGTGCGGAGCTCCGGGCTGGTGCCCTGCCTGCCTCGTGGGGCGCCTGTCAGCACCCAGGGGATAGGGACTCGCAGCGGGATGGGTGCTGCCAGCATTCCGCCCCATCTCCCAGCCCGGTCCCTGTGGGGTGGGGAAGGAAAGGCCTGCCCTCTCTGTCCCACGGGATTGCTCGTCGGCATGCGTGCCTGCTGTCCCCTCCGGCGTTTCTGCCCACCCTTCCCGCTCCTTGGTCTTGGGGGCAGCACCGTTACCGTCACTGGTGACGACAAGACCCGTTTCCCTTGAGCTTTCACGGCCTCTCTCCACAGAGCCGGCCACGTAGTGCTCCTCAGGGCCGGCGTCACCCGGCCCCTCTGTGCTCGCACGCCCC